ATGGTACAGTATATGGGTCTTAACTGTGGCAGCCTCTTGATGGTACAGTATATGGGTCTTAACTGTGGCAGCCTCTTGATGGTACAGTATATGGGTCTTAATTGTGGCAGCCTCTTGACAGTACAGTATATGGGTCTTAACTGTGGCAGCCTCTTGACAGTACAGTATATGGGTCTTAACTGTGGCAGCCTCTTGATGGTACAGTATATGGGTCTTAACTGTGGCAGCCTCTTGATGGTACAGTATGTGGGTCTTAATTGTGGCAGCCTCTTGATGGTACAGTATATGGGTCTTAACTGTGGCAGCCTCTTGATGGTACAGTATATGGGTCTTAACTGTGGCAGCCTCTTGATGGCAGGTTGTATAAGGGTCTTAAATCAGGCAAATGATGGTGCAGCATAGCGGCCTTTAACTGTGGCAGTTTCTGATGGCACAGTATATGGGCTCGATCGCGCCCTTGATGGTACAGTATGGGTTCACCGTGGCAGCCTTCTTTGATGGAAGAAAGATATGGGTTTCAATCTGTATGTTTCTGATGGCGCTGGCTATATATGGGTTCTAACTGTAAGCAGCTCTGATGGCAACAGCATATGGAAGTTCAACTGTAAGCTTGATGGTACAGTATATGGGTTTTGAACTGTGGCAGCCTTTACGGTGCCACAGATATGGGTCTGCAACAGTGCCTTGATGGTACAGTATGGAATTTAATTCAGGTAGCTCTTATGGCACAGTATATGGGTTCTTAACTGTGGCAGCCTCTTGATGGTACAGTATATGGGTCTTAACTGTGGCAGCCTCTTCATGGTACAGTATATGGGTCTTAACTGTGGCAGCCTCTTGATGGTACAGTATGTGGGTCTTAACTGTGGCAGCCTCTTGATGGTACAGTATATGGGTCTTAACTGTGGCAGCCTCTTGATGGTACAGTATATGGGTCTTAACCGTGGCAGCCTCTTCATGGTACAGTATATGGGTCTTAACTGCAGTTATATACATAATGTATTTTACAAAGGTTAAGTTTTTAGATACAATACACTGCTGTAGGTATAGGTACAATACACTGCTGTAGGTACAGGTACAATACACTGCTGTAGGTACAGATACAATACACTGCTGTTGGTACAGGTACAATACACTGCTGTAGGTACAGGTACAATACACTGCTGTAGGTACAGGTACAATACACTGCTGTAGGTACAGGTACAATACACTGCTGTAGGTACAATACACTGCTGTAGGTACAATACACTGCTGTAGGTACAGGTACAATACACTGCTGTAGGTACAGGTACAATACACTGCTGTAGGTACAGGTACAATACACTGCTGTAGGTACAGGTACAATACACTGCTGTAGCTCATCATTTCAGATACTTGAGTCTGGAACTGCAAACTTTGCCAACATCACAGCAGCTCAGAAATCCCCACTAGCTAAATTGCTCTTCAGAATTGAAGGTGTCCAAGGAGTGTTCTTTTCAACAGACTTCATCACTTTAACTAAGGTAAAGTTTTTAACCCTATCCTCTTCTAGATTTATTTTGAAATGCCAAGTAGCACATGTAAAATTTCTATGCCTTTTTTCAGGTGTCTTTGTTTAACTTAATACTTTACTAATGCCCACCATTCAAAAGTGTCTATTTTTTTAATATACATTCATAATGGGATCTATTTATTTATTTTTGGTAAATTTTATCTTTTTAAATGATTTGCTCTTACAAATTAAATGTTATGTTGCGAACGGCAGGATGACGAGGAAGCAGAGTGGCGGACTATTAAACCAGAAGCCTTCGCTGTCATCATGGACTTCTTTGCCTCGGGTCTTCCAGTTATACATCAAGTTGACCAAAGAGAGAATGACCATGGTGAGGGAACCCTCTCTATACTTTTGTGAACAAGAGTTGTAGTTTACTTCAGTAGTGACAGGTACTGTATTTGGATAAGGTGTGTCCAGTATATTGCTTAACATTAAGAAATGGTTTCACTACATCACACACCTGTAGTACATTTTCACTCTGTTAGATTGAGAAGTTTATTTATGGTAATTGTCAGTCACTAAGCAAATATGGTAAACAGAATTTGAGATTATTTTAGGAAGTGCATTTATGTGGTGAAACTGAGTCATGGGAATAAATCTCCAAACTTACTCACCTCGACTGTCATCTGGTGTGGAAATACAGTACTGTTTAATTTCCTTTGGGGGTCAATACTGCTTCAGTTTGGGAGCGAGCAAATCATATGTACAGTATTTTTAATGAAGCTTCTTGTTTAATGTTAATACGAATGACGAATTTTCAGCTGGGTGCGACGACGAAGACGACGAGACGGTGGCCATGATTAAGGAACTTCTTGACACACGGATTAGACCCACCGTACAGGAAGATGGCGGCGATATTCTCTTCCGGGGATTTGACGACGGAATAGTCTATCTTAAGGTAACGTACACGAGTACACTTAATATAATACAGTGGTCCCTCGGTTAACGAGCACAATCCGTTCCAGCAGGTTGCTCGTTAACCGAAACCATTTTTTCAATGGGTTTTTGGGTAATTGGTTCCAGCTCACCGAAAATTGCCTAAATTCAACAAAAAAGGTAGAAAAGTACACTTACTTTGAGGTGTGTATGTAGAAGGCTCCTGGATGATGATGATGATGATGATGGGAATTAGAATGGGGGTGGAGGAGAAGGGAGAAGAGAAGGCATTGGGGTGGAAGAGAAGTCACCCCATGGTGCCATTTCACCCATAAAATTTTAGCTCTCTTGGTGTAATTCAAGATTATTTTCTTTAAATGAGCACTGCACTGCATTACCGTATATACTCGTCTATAACCTGCCTCGTTTATAGGTCGACCCAAGTTTTTGAGGGTAAAGGAACAACAAAACCTTCAGAGAAACACTACGTCCTATAAACTTGTTTACCATTTATTATCACGACACTTTACACTGAAACGCGGGTAGTTTCAACAAAAATATTGTATATTTCCATTCAAGTATTTATTCAAGTCAATTAGGAGGGAATGTTATTGTAATACAACAGTTTTTTAACTAAACCATTCGAAAAGTGATTACGGTAACATCTTTTGAACGAAAGAAAGCCAGTCATTGTTTTCATCACGATTTTATCCCACTTTCCACTGTAATACGTACGTCATTTCAGCAAAAAATATTACATTTCCGTGAATGTATTATATCAAGCACAGTATAAATAGAATATCATTGTAATATAACAGAATTTTAACCGAAAACTATTAAAAAAACGAATAACATCTCGAGAACATCGGAAGCTTAGGTAAAGTCTTTTGTTTTCGACATGTATTTTATCCTATTTTACATTGAAATACATCACGTTTCAGCAAAACTACTATTTATTTCCGAGAATATATTTATTCAGGCGCAGTTTAGGTAAAATATACGTGTGATGTAACAGTTTTTTAACTGAAAACGATTCGAACACGTGTACCCTCTAGCCCTGTTCAAGGAGAGGACTGGGAGAAGCTGTTTGGTGCTGCAGACGATGACAATGAAAATGATTTTGGTGGATTTTAATGAAAATATTCAGAAATATGGTATCGTAATATTTATTCAAGTCAATTAGGATATTATTGTAATACAATACAACAGTTTTTTAACTAAACCATTCGAAAAGTGATTACGGTAACATCTTTTGAACGAAACAAAGCGAAAGTCATTGTTTTCATCACAATTTTATCCCACTTTCCACTGTAATACGTACGTAATTTCAGCAAAAAATATTACATTTCCGTGAATGTAGTATATCAACCACAGTATGAATAGAATATCACTAATATAACAGTATTTTAACCGAAAACTATTAAAAATACGAGTAACATATCTTGAACATCGGAAGGTTAGGTAAAGTCTTTTGTTTTCTGCATGTAGTTTATCCTAATTTACATTGAAATACATCACGTTTCAGCAAAACTACTATTTATTTCTGAGAATATGGAAATGTAATATTTTTGCTGAAATGACGTATGTATTCAGTGGAAAGTGGGATAAAATCGTGACAAAAACAATGACTCGCTTTCTTTCGTTCAAAAGATGTTACCGTAATCGCTTTTCGAATGGTTTTCAGTTAAAAACTGTTATATTACAATAATATTCTATCCTAATTCACTTGTGATGTAAAAGTTTTTTAACTGAAAACGATTCGAAAAACACGTGTACCGTCTAACTGATACGGCAGAGCCCTGGTCGCGAAGGCTTTGTGTTTGCATCGGCCCTTCTTAAGCAGCTTTTAATTTTAGCGTACGTTGAAATTGTGTTTACCGGTGTATTCTTATTTTCTTGCTTCTTATTTTCCAGAAATATGACAAGTTTTTATATAATACAATGTTATGGTACTTTTAATTTACAAGTATTCATTTTTAAAAATACAGAACACCAAACAAATACTAGTACGGATATTTGCGTGACTCTCCCGCCAAAAACGACCAAACAGCTGGTACTCTCTCCCTCAGCCCTACCAAAAATAGCCCAACATCTTTCTTGTTTATTCTCTTCCAATTTCTCACTTTAACTGGTATTTTTTACTTCATATTGCCTACATCAGATAAACTTCAGTAATTGAGGTTAGATATTGTTATAAATTTGATTACCGGGTCCTGGCAGGTACCGTTAGAACCACCTGACCCTACCAACAGTGTTGCAAGTCAGACAGCATTTTTTTTTTTTACATTTTTGGTGTCTCCATTTGTTAATTTTTTTTCTGTGGGGTTTGCACAATAGTATACTGTTTTACCTACAGTATTGTAAAACGATTTGGGAAAAGAAATACTCGGTAACTTAAAATTTTAAAAGGAAAATTTTGAAACTGGCAACTGTGTGTAGATGACCTGACTCACATCATATTGATGTTTCAAATTTAATTAACAAAAATTTATGTATCTATAAATAAACTTTTAAAAATGAATACTTTATGTTCTACATACTCCTGTGCATACCATACCATGCATTTGGCTACTTTGGGCTTGCTATGATGACGCAAGAGATCTGCCCTGGCAACTGTTCCGACACTCACAGCTGGTGGTGCGTGGGTGCATCGTTTCCATTGTTTACTGGTAGTTACTGGTAAATATTTTTCAACCTAACGAAACTATTACCCGTATAGAGGTCGACCCCCAACTTTTTGCCCAAAAATTTGGTCTTAAGAACTCGTGCTATACACGGGTATATACGGTATATATTGTCAATATGTAAAATATATTTCAAAGTGACCAATAATTTGCTTGGAAACACAGAAAAAAGCGTTTAGTTGAAGAGAGTCTCAAGCAAGATGTTACCTCCACTGAAAACAGAGAGAGACTAACGCCTGTCTGGTGTGTTAACAGGCTGGATGGCACGCCAGAAACTAGTTTCTTTACCTTCAATTATGTTCAATAATTGTTAAAATGACTAAAAAAGTTAATATTAAACTTTTAAAATTATTGAATAGTATAAACTTCTTGATATTTACTAAAAGAGTAAGGAATTTAAGCCCTAAAACCGATTACTGTATTGGCGGACTAATACTACAGCTGGTGGACCACCAAATGCAAGCGAAAACATGTTGAAGTCGGCTCATAAAAAATCGTTAATCGAGGGATTGCTCGTTAACGAAAGTTAAGAATCTTATGGAAGGTAAATCGTTAACTGAAATCTCGTTAACCGAGGCGCTCATTAACCGAGGGACCACTGTAATGAGTTCCATAAGAGAGATGATGAACTACATGGCGGCACTAGGATAAAGTTGTGACTAAGATGAAAAGTTAGCACAGTACAGTACAGTATATATTAAAGTTATGTGGTATCTTATTATCAGGTTGGTTAGGTTTATGCTGTAAAAGGTGAAATACTGTATGATAATAGTGTTTAAGAAGATGTGTTTAATAGGAATGTTCTCTTTATATCAGGGTTGGAAAAAATCATGATTTTTTTTTTAATAAAAAAATTGATTTATTTGATTTAAATCAGATTTTTTTTATTTAAATCGATATTTTTATTTTTTTAATAATTGCATTAAAATAGTACAGTAATACCCCGCTTAACACGGTTTCGCTTAGCGCGATTTCACGTATACGCGGTGCCTCGCCAGAGCCGAACTTTCACTTAACGCGGGCTTTTTCCACGTATATGCGCAGAGTGTCCGGCTCGAGACGCTATTTTTAGATTCACCCCCCACCCGCCACCCTGCCTGACTGCCTGCCTGCCTGTTTTAGCTCATAAAATTCATACAAATTACCTGGCCAGAATATAATTTACATTGCTGGAATTCTTACAATTTGATGATCATTTTGAATATAAACATCATAGATTTTGCATTAGACGTACAAATTTTAGATATAATGTTTACTCTGAGTAAATATGTTATTTTTTGTGCAAAATATATGACATTTGTATTCAAAATATTCCTGGTCTTACAAGGAATCCAGCAATGTCAATTATATTATCCTAACTTTAGTTTGAGGTATTATTTATTACTAAAAAGGTAAACAGTCTGGTTTTCCCACACATCTGGTAGGGACGGTTGGTGGGGGGTGGGGGGGAGGGAGGGACCAACCGACCATCTGTTACGTGTGAAGAATATTTTTTTTTATTAACTGAAGATATTTGTTTTAGCTCATAAAATTCATACAAATTACCCGGCCAGAATATAATTATATTGTTGAATTTTATAAATTTCACATCATTTCTGGAACAGAAGACTATAGATTGCATTAAGTATACAAATTTTAGATCACTAAAGGGCTTGTCGATTTGAGCAACAGGTTATTCTTTGTAAAAATATATGATATCTAAGATTCAGCATTCCTATATGAACCCAAGAATGTATATCTGCACTTAATCTGAGGTATTATTTAATACTAAATGTTAAAATTTAGTTTTTTCACCCAACATCTCTTGAAGGGAGGATTGGTGGGGGTGGGGGGGAGGGTTGGGACGACCGCATGGTTGGAAGAGGGGGGGGAGGCAAGGTGGGGCACTTTGATTGACAGACAGTGTCGTGAAGAATATTTTTTTTTTTATTAACTGAAGATATTTGTTTTAGCTCATAAAATTCATACAAATTACCCGGCCAGAATATAATTTACATTGCTGGAATTCTTACAATTTGATGATCATTTTGAATATAAACATCATAAATTTTGCATTAGACATACAAATTTTAGATATAATGTTTACTCTGAGTAACAAATATAAGTTATCTTTGTGCAAAAAGATATAGACGAGACCAAAATATTCCTTATTCATATGAATCCATGTAAAGTTTTACTGTGTCATCCTAACTGAATGAGGAATATTTATTAAAATTTAGTGGTTTTCTCCCCTACTTTCAGAGGGAAGAGCCAGTGAGTAGTGGAGAAGAGGAAGGAGTCGAGTCCATTATTTGAATGGATACTTATCTCAAGTAATTTCTGTATTTCTCAGCTTCTTGGCGCATTAATTGTGTGCATGTACCATCATAAAATTAAGATGTTATTTTTACTAGAACATAGGCAGCATTGTGTCGG